TCGTTGCTTGGTTTTCTCACGTTTAACTGAAGTACTAAAAAAATACTTTTCCTCGCTTTAGTGTTTATTTCGTCCATCAGTTTCAGATTAAGGCTCTGTGTTTCAGTTTTTAAAACAAAGATGAAGTAATGAAACACACGCGATATTTGTATTTTTTCTGTCAAGTAGTGCATTTATCTATATATTGATATCATTATATATATATATATATATATATATATATATATATATATATATATATATCTATATATATATATATATATATATATATATATATATATATATATATATATATATATATATATATATATATATATAAGCAAGCCAAAAATATTTTTATTACAAATATTTTTATATTACTGATTAATATTTCTAATTAGTTCATTTAACAGTTAATTTTTCATAATAGTAACTATAATGTTTAAATAATATATATATATATATATATATATATATATATATATATATATATATATATATATATATATATATACACACACATAAAAAATATATTTTTTATTATTTCTTTATAGTAACAAATTAAAGTAATTCTAATATTTTTTGCCTGTTTCTGTTTCATTTATTGTCTTTGTGTCTCCATCACTAAGCGGTGAGCTGAAGCATCTGAGTGGGCATGTGGTTGCTGGAGAAGCTGCGCAGCTCTGTGGAGAGCAGTGGGACACATTCCCAGCCCCCGCAGATGACAGAGGCCATTCCCGTTGCTGTTTATGCCAATGTGCTCACCCCTGAAAGGATCCCTGATTTCTTCATCCCCCCCAAACTCATCTGCTGCCCCCCTGAGGAGTCCACCAGCCCAGAACCCAAACCTCACACCAATCTGAGACCCTCCTCCTCCGACAATGCTATCTGCAGCCAGAGTCCCCGAGCCCGGAGCAGCAAGAGCATCTGCAGTCCTCGCCTGTTCTCCCGCAACCTGCAAAAGTCTGCCAACCGACACATCATCCAGATAGAGAGTGCGGACGAGCCGGGTGCTGCGGCAATGGACAAGCACTCTGTGGACGTCAATACCAACGCTGATCCTCAGTCACAGACTGCCATGTCCTTGCCGTACGTCCCAAAAGCTCAGACCTCCTACGGCTTCTCCACCTTGGTAGAATCTCCTCACACCAGACGCAAGGAAAGCCTGTTCCACAGTGATCCCAACAGCCCCCTCAACTCCCCAAGCTCCCAGAGGCGCTCCCAAGGGGGGACTCTACTGGCCCCAGCTGACCCCAATCCTTATCGCTACTTCAGCGGAGGAGAGAGCGACACCTGCTCATCTGCTGAGTCTTCCCCATTTAACTCCCCCCTCCTCTCCAGGTCTGCTTCCCTACTTCGATCTATTACCCAGGAAACACAAGCTAAGGTGATAGCTTCTGCTTGTTTTAGTCAGATGATATTATCTGAGCTAGAAGTAAATCCTTTGTATATTTACCTGCTGCTTTTTCATTTGCCCTCTAAAGGTATCACGTGCAAAACGCTCCCTGGCACGCCACAGTTCTCTCTCCACTGACGAATGCAGCTCTGCCGACAACAGCCCCAACATGCAGCGGCGGCGCGCGCGCTGCCCCCCTTCTCCTGCCTTCCGAGGAGCCAAAGCCGGCAGCTCCAGGCCAGCAGCCTCGGATCTCCTGCAACGTGAGCACACCATCAACCTCCACAAGGGGGGCACCCTGAGGTTGAGCACCCACTACGACCCCGAAGCCGCCCGGCTAAGAGTGCGAGTGCTCGCTGCAGAGGCCCTCTATAACAGGCAGACGGACCTGAAAAGCATTAACTGCTGTGTGGCGCTCTACCTGAACCCCGGCAAGCAGCAGAAACAACGGAGCACCATTATCAAGAACAGCAGGAACCCGGTGTTCAATGAAGACTTTTTTTTTGATGCACTGCCTCAGGCACAAGTGAAGAATCTGGCCATGAAGATAAAGGTTGTGAACAAAGGAACCAGTCTGAAGAGAGATGTGCTTCTAGGTGAGAGGGAGGTGCTGCTCAGTGAGCTGCTCGCAAACCTCTAGGGAGACCTTGCCAAGGCTCCAGTGAAAGCAAGCGGCTCGCCTCCCCTCTGTCGACCTTTTCGTCCCACCCTTCCAGATACTGGGCAAGAAGCAGCATACCAATGACCAGGGTGCCGCATCTTGCACACAGTGTTGTGTGTATCAACAGAGTCCCTCATGTCTTGATTAGTTAAGCTTAAACAAAGACATGCAGACAGTCTTTAAGTGCTTGCTGGTATGTCAGTATTGTGAATGGCAGAGTGGTGTTTGTGTATTTTTCTTGACGCGCTGACTTTCCAAAAAGGTGTTGCCCCTTTCTAATGTAGCTCTTTTCAGTTCATATGTTTAACTTGAAGTTGTATTTTTGTAATAAATCTACTCTATTATTGCGTACAAAAGTTTTGCATGTCACTGTGCAAATGATAAATGCCTTTGTGTATTTGAAAGACTCCTATTGTAAATATGACTGACACAATGTGAGAAGTTTCAGAACTTACCAATAAAGAGCACACTAAAAACACAAGAAGATGATTCTTTATTCCAATTTGACACTTTATCTCTTCTCATTTTGTCATTTCTAAGGACCAATGAAGGACAGTAACAATGGTTCAAAACCCTCTTTTGCGCCAACAAAAGCTTCCTGTTTTCGCAAACAGAGGCTGCGTCCTCTGAGACTTGCAAACTCCTGGTGTCATTTTGTGGGGCTTTTAGTGGTTCTCCGCAAACAATATTGTCTCTTTGTGCGCTCAAACTCCCTGTTTAATTTTAAATCCACACATCCAATTCAGGCATTCCTCTGGTGAGTTCTAAACTGATGATCAGGGTGGCAATCACACAGAACATCCTGCTTAGAAAATAATTAATCTACACAGACTGATGTGCCTAGCATTTTAGTTGATAAATGGAAATCTATTTGTTCCCGTACACCACATATACAGGCTGATCCGTGCAGAGCAATATGGAATATTGTCCGAATATGGATGTTTTGCGTCCTCTGCTGGTGAAAGAACAAAATGACATGTTGAGAGCTTTGAAATATTCATAAGCTTTCAAGCCACTTTACTTGCCTTGTTTGAGGTTAATTGGACATCTTGATATTTTATGACCCAAACAGACATTGCAACCCTGGGACAGAGTGTAGAAAGAACTCGCATTTTAAAAAACGTAAAAATTGACTTTCAGAGCACTTTCAGGCTTATGCCCCGGGGGTGATGTTTCACCAACTCCATTAACTTCTGAAGTATGGAAATAAGTCTCAACAAGCACCCATTTGGGACATGTTCATCTGTGACTCTGAAGGAGCTTAATTTCCTACAGACTGGAGAGCAAAAGGATAAAATGGGAGAAATCCAATCTTTTCGACTTTGTAGTTCAAAGTTTTGTGATGTAAAGTGCTAGAGACAGCTTGTGCTCTAGGAACATAAAAGCTTTGCTGAGATACGCTCAGAATAATTAGAAACAGAATTGTTTTTATTGAGCATTATGGCACCTGCAACTGGGAGTTCAAAAAATATAAATAAATACTTAAACAATAAAGATAGCTTGGAGGAGCAGTTAGCACTGCTGCCTTGCAGCAAGAAAATCCTGGGTTTGAATCCTGATTTAAAGATAGAAAACAGTCTTTCATAGACAAGCAAATATGGAAAATTGATGGACACCATGAATAAAATAATTGTTTACAAATGTCAATGTTTTTTGTCCTTGTTTTCTGTGATACACTGACAAAAGTACTGTGGCTACATAATTGGTATATGTTATAAGCAAATTAGATACTGCAAAGTGTGGGTTTCATTTGAATTTCAACCTGAGTAAATACTATAGAGCAAGCTTTCATTGCTACCACAGCTGAAAGTTTCTAAAGCTATTCGCCCTGCCTTCTTTGTAAAACAGCTCCAGCTCAGGCAGAAAAGATGGTAAATGTCAGTGGGCATCATGTATTGAGACTTTGACTTAGAGCATTTTACAGCTCTCACTCTGTATGGGTCCCTGAATTGCTGGATGGTGGATTAGTTTTTTCAGTATTGTTTTGTCTTTTGCTTTATCCATCATCCTATTAACTCTGAATTTGTTCCTGCTGAAGAAAAGCTTCCCCACAATATCAGAAATGCTCTGTCATTTTTGATTTTATGGGATTTTACACAATTTCTGTGTTCCAATAAAAACTGTGTTTTCAGGATGAGTTGCAGTGTTCATTTTCTGCCACACATAAATTTTTTTGTTCATTTTGATATATAAATATATATATAAATATATAAATATAAATATATATATAATAATTATTATATATATATATATATAGTTGAGCCATATTGTGTTTTAACAGTGTTTAGCCACAGTTAAATCTAATTAAATCTAATTAAAAGCTTTAGATTTTCTTAAGAAAATATTAAATCTGTCATTTTTTGTTTACCACTAACAGAACATTGCCAGCAGATAATACTCAATCTTTATATTTTACCATTAAGGTCAAATTACGGCAGTACCAGTAACCATCTGAGAGCTGTAACCAATACCGTATGCTCACATCTGAGGAGGCCTCACTGTCCAGTACATGCAAATTGTTTTATCATCACTCAAATTTATGACTTAAATGGAATAAGGCTACATAATAATTGTAATTGTTATTATTATTATTATTATTATTACTAATAATAATATTATATAATTTTGCAGTTGTTAAACTAACTAAAAGGGTTCAAGGAAGTTGCACAATAATAATCATCATCATCATCATCATTATTATTATTATTATTATTATTATTATTATTATTATTATTATTATTATTATTATTGAGTTCGCCGTCAGCTGATTGTCAGTCAGAGACAAAGCCTAATGTTGGTTCCAACAACCATAACAAAGAAAGCCATCAGCTGTCGGTAATTTAACTCGCTTTGACTCATGGGAAACGTATTTTTCTGCCAATAACACGGCCTCTTTCATGTACTAAAACGCTGTGTTAAGACTACATTACCCAGAATGCTAGGGTTCACTTGTAAACAGAGACCTGTCAAAGAGCACAAACGCCATCTTGACAGCAACCTCAAAATGGCAGAAAGATATGAGTCAGAAACAGGGTCCAAACTAAGATTCCGGCGCTCCACTACTTAAAACCAGATACTTCAGATATTCTATAAGAAAGTGGGCATGGAGTTGGTGTGCGGTGCTACAGCACAGAGCCTGTAAAATGGATATAACCGTGGCGGTTTTCAACGCGGCCAGAGATGGTAAGCTGAAACTTATCCAGAAGTTGCTGAGCAACAAAACTCCGGAGGAGCTGGAGGCTTTAGCGGAGGAGAAAACCCAGGGCAGCACCGCGCTTCTCATAGCCTCTCGGTACGGACACTTAGACGTCGTAGACTACCTGCTCGAACATTGTAAAGCCAATGTTGAACTCGGAGGCTCGGTCAACTTTGACGGCGAGACTATCGAGGGGGCTCCACCGCTGTGGGCGGCTTCGGCAGCGGGTCACCTCCCCGTGGTGAAGACGCTGCTGAAACACGGCGCCTCGGTTAACAACGCCACGCTCACCAACTCCACCCCGCTCCGAGCCGCTTGCTTTGACGGCCACCTGGAGATCGTTCGCTACCTGGTGGAGCACAGAGCGGACATGGAGGTCGCCAACCGCCACGGCCACACCTGCCTCATGATTTCGTGCTACAAGGGCCACAAAGAGATAGCCAAGTTTCTCCTGGACCGTGGGGCTGACGTGAACCGAAAGAGTGTGAAAGGGAACACGGCCCTCCATGACTGCGCTGAGTCTGGGAGTCTGGACATCATGAAGATGCTGCTGAAGTGCAACGCCCGCATGGAGAGGGATGGGTATGGGATGACCCCCCTCCTGGCTGCCAGTGTGACGGGTCACACTAACATTGTGGAGTATCTGGCCCACCAGCCTCGCTCTTCCAGAGAGGAGCGGATCGATGCACTGGAGCTTCTGGGAGCAACGTTTGTGGACAAGAAACGCGATCTGTTGGGAGCGATGAGATACTGGAGAAGAGCCATGGAGCTGAGGGAGGCGGGCGACAAAGCTGGATCGCTGTCCAAGCCTCCGCCTGGTCCTCCCATCCCTGCCTACGGATGTGCCCAGGAGGTGAGCACTGCAGAGGAGCTTGAAGCTTTAATCACTGATCCTGATGAAATGAGGATGCAGGCCTTACTGGTTCGTGAGCGCATCCTTGGCCCATCCCACCCGGACACATCTTATTACATTCGGTACAGGGGAGCTGTGTATGCTGATTCGGGCAACTTTGAGCGCTGTATCAGTCTGTGGAAATATGCTTTAGAGATGCAGCAGAGCAACTTGGACCCCCTCAGTCCCATGACAGCCTCCAGTTTCCTCTCCTTTGCAGAGCTCTTTTCTTTTGTTCTTCAGGACAGAGCCAAAGGCACCCTGTCAACTCGCATCACCTTCCAGGATCTAATGACTGTGCTGGGGAAAAGCGTGAGGGAAGTCGAAAGAGCTGTGGCACAGAGAGACAACCCGCCAGAAGCCCCTCAGTTCAACAAGGCGCTTTCCATCATTCTCCATCTCATCTTTTTACTGGAAAAGCTCGAGTGCAACCCCGAGCAGGAACACCAAAAGAAGCACACGGTCTACCGGCTGCTCAAGCTCAACCCTCGAGGTCGGAACGGATTCACGCCGCTCCACATGGCCGTGGACAAAGAGACCACATCTGTGGGCCGCTACCCAGTGGGCCGCTTCCCCTCCCAGGCGGTGGCAGCGCTGCTCCTAGAGTGCGGCGCAGATGTCGATTCGCGGGACTGCGAGAACAACACCCCGCTGCACGTTGCCGCCATCAACGGTTGCCCAGAGATAATGGCGCTGCTGGTGAAGGCGGGGGCCCACTTCGACGCGACGAACGCTCAGAGGAAAACGGCTTACGAGCTGTTGGATGATCACAGCGGCGGCCACACAGCACTGTACCCGTTGAACTACATCACCCTTCAGTGCCTGGCAGCTCGTGCGATTGAAAAGCACAGGCTGCCTTACAGGGGCCTGATCTCTGAGGAGATGGAGGCTTTCATTGAGCTCCACTGACTTCCATGAAGAGACTCCCCTTTAACAAACAATCTGTGTTCATCATTTTCTCCACTTCTGGCTCTAATGGCAACGTGTCAGACCAAACCATAGCAATAAACCCACATCCTCTGGGAGTAGTCTCTGCTTCCGATCTGGAATAAATTTTCTGATGAAGTCACAAAGCCTGTTTTAAACTTCTTGGTTTCTGGTATAAGAATGGAAAAAATTGTAATAACTTAAAACTGAAGACCTCAACTCAATCTTCTAGTTCCTCTGACTTCACTTGACTTTTGACTTTAAATTATTTGAAATTTCAAATCAAATTCAACTTGTATTTTTATTTGAATGTGTCCCTTTATTAAAATAGTTTGTTTTATTAGCTTCTTGCTATTTTAAACTTCTTTCCCAGAATCCAATACAACATTCAGTTATGTTGCATAAAAGGGTACACAAAGGTACCATAGAAAATAATTCCTCAAGTCATTTAATTAGTTTAAACAAATTACAAGGAGGTCCAAAAGATACGTACTGTCCAAGAAACACGCGGATCAAAAATTAGATGAATGGTCAACTTCTTTAAACCCTTTTAGTTAAACAACTGCAAAATTATTTTACATGCTTTTCAAAATATGTTCTAATTTTTGGTTTGAAAAAAACTGATCTAAATTTTGTTAAAACTACCATCTCGATTTGCCAGTCCAAAGTGATTAACTCGTTTTGTTAAACAGGTCAAATCTCGGTGTTAAGAAAAAGTCCACACTTTGTTAAATGAAAGTAAACTGAAAAATAGAAAATATTTACATTTTCTGAGTGAAAACCAGTTTCCAGGTCATTTTCTAATCTAGAAATAATTCTCTACCTATAATGTTTTTTAGTTCATCCAACACTGTAGACGAGGAAGTTTAGAACGATGCTTGTTTTCTAAAAGCATTCATTGTTTTCCGTGTTAACATTGTGTGTCTTATTTGATCAAAACATACAATGTCGCTTTAGCAATAGTTGTACAGAAAATACACTTTCTTTGAAAGATTTTGCTTCAAAATGAGATGGGTAAGAAACTGTGAAAAAGGCCAGACATTATTTATGTTGTGTGTAAAATGCTAAGGTGCCAGAAGTTTTGTTACTATGTAATCATTAACATTTAATTCTGGCAAATAAATGCATTTTGGAATTACTAATATTTTTGCAAACTAGTAAAATTTGATGATGATTCTTAAGTTGACAACTTGAGACTTGACTTAGAATTCCTTCGCCATGACTTAGAGCTGAACTTTTGACTTCTTTCTTTTCTTGCGACTTGAATGAAAAGACATGAGATTTGGTTGTGACTAGCAAATTGATGACTTACTCCCACCTTCTCTGTTTTAGAGTTTCTCCAACTAAAAAGGAGCATCACACCATCATCAGGCTTTTTGTAAAATAAAGGCTTTTGATTTCTGGCATCCGATCAAGATATTCAGAAAACATGCATGAAAATGAAGTGTGGTTATGGAAGTTCAACTCTTGTTTTGTTTATTTATATATCAACTCAAACTAGCAGGTTTTTCACTTAATGTCTGTTTAATATGGGAAATGTATTTAGATTACTGTGCCAAACATTCTGTTACTGACTTATCTGATTTAAAATAAAGTGTAACTTCGAGCAAGGACACTAATTCAACAGTAGTAGAGGACTAGTAATTTCAGTGTCTTAATATTTAAAACTGCAATACTCTTTGTCAGCCTCCAGAACAATTACTTGAAAGACTTGAGAAAATTGGCATTGATTGGATTGCATAAAACAGGCAGCAACAAAGTCGACTCTTATTAGTGTTTCTAGCCTGTGCAGTTTGTTTTATTTCAATTAGAGGTATATTCTTTTTTTTCCCAAGCTAAAAGTATCTCTGCAGAATTGTTGTTCTAAATGACACATGCTTATCCTACAGACGGAGATAATTGACTCTGGTTGCTTCGTTCACAATAAATTGCTGTCTTCTGAGTGTATTGACTAAGAATGCCTTCTTAGTTTTCTCATCCTCTCTCAGCAAATTGTTTTAGTATTACAAAGCTTGGAAGTATGTCGACATCCATCTTCTTTCTGTAATTACACCAGCAGCTAATGTGTTCAGTTGAATGTCAATAAGACCGTTTCAGACTGTTATTGGGGATTACAGACGACATTTGTGTGAAAGAGTGAAAGAGTCCCACTTTTGCCCTTTGACCTCAAATGCAGCTCAGAAATAAAACGGATGGCTTCTTAAGCCATTATTGCGTCTTAGTCTTACAAACACAAGACTTTATTTTTGTTGATCTTGTATTTATTGCTGATTGTGTGAAACTGAAAGCACACCAAGCGGCTCTGTGAACTCTGGGATCCGTAAGGTCAGGCTCCAAGCTGACGCCGCCTTTCTTACTGAACTCATTCATTTTACCTGATGACGGCTTGCGAGCAAAAGTGTCTTGGAGATATCTGAATAAAATTCAGAATTCAAAGATAATATGTGTGTCCGTGTCGTCAGCTTGCTTAAGAAAAACAGTCGTTATTTTTTTTTTATTTTACTGTCATATTTGCATTCATAGCATTCACAGGAGTTGCAATAGATGTGTCTATCATCAGATTGTCGCATCAGTTCAGCTTATTTCCAGTGAAGAGCTGCAGCAAATGTCAGCTCTACCTCATGCTGCATGCAGCTATTTACAATCAAGCTCATTTCATGTCAAAGTTTATTCCAGTTAAATCAGAAACACTGTGTTTTCATTTCTAATTGTAACGCAATACTATATGGGCAGTTGATCATATAACACCAATGGGTGAAAAGTTTTGTGACATAATTAAAATAAGCTGTCTTATGCACCCTATTGGAGTGCATGTTGCTAAACACTGATCTGTGACCTCACATTTCAGCTCTCCATCTCAAGGCTTTCCACAGGTCATTTTAAACCTGAGAATGCCAAAATAAAGCATAAGAGAAACCTGATATTTCTGGGTCCTGAACTCACAGAGTATAAATAGGTTGCAATTAACGTCACTGCTGCTGGGCAGCGGTGGAGACAGGGCACCCAACTTGCTAATTTTAGGGATCTTTCTTCCCTAGCTTCAGCTCTGAAAATGGGAATATGGTAACGTAACACTGGGAGGCGGGGTGAGTGGCAGACAGGACGCGTAGCCTGCAGCAGGTTGCTTTAACCTTACAGGAAGCAGACGCAGCACTCAATATACACACTGCCGGACGCTCAACCTCAGATATTTATTAGCTGCTAACGTGCTTTTACTGAAGCAAGTGTCTTGTTCACAATGTTGGATGATACCAGATGGCAAACTGCTCATCCCATGCAGCAGCTCGCCCCAGCTGTCGTTAAGCTGTAATAGATGGCCATCTTATTTCAGAAGGTGCTTTCCCGCTGTCTTAACCTGAACTGTTCGTGGAGAATCCACAAATAGAACATAATTTGTTGTACCTTTACTTTGTTTCACCTGAACATTTTGAATTTTGACTTGTAATTCTTAAACTGAGCCTGATCTAAAGTGTTTTATTTACATTCCAAAGCTTTGATACACTTTTTTCCTTATTTGCAGAAAAAGGGTAGCAGAAATCACAAACTTTGATATTGAAGTTTAGTCCAAATTTGAGAAGTGGTCTAAATCAACATTCAAATACAACCGGTGAAACAGCCTCTGCCCGTCAGCCAAATCAGAAACCAGCTGCACTCCTGAAACTTCATGATCTATGCCATGTACAAATCATAAAACTTGACAAAAGTACAAGCATTTTTGAAAGGAATATTTATATTAAAACAGCCAAAACATTATTTGAAAACAATTGTCAGAAAGAATTATTTGCATCTGTTAAATTATAACATTTTAAAATAAAAAAATGTGAGGGAATCCTGAACTTACAACCTCTCAGAAGACACAGTTATTAAGGCTGGGTTTAAATCCATGTCTGTGTTTGGGTGAGATATGTTTTGGGATATTTTTAGTTATTAAATTAAGCTTCTTTTTATTCCCTTGTGTCCCAATGTGACACAGTTATGACAAAAAAATACAAAAGAAAAACCTCCACAAATTGAAAGCTTTTGTGCTCTCCCATCTTCACAAAACACTCTATTATAATAGAATGCTCCCACTAGATGTCAGTAGCAACAAAGAAAGGTAGTGAAATCAGAACCCTTTGTCTCTTAAACGCTTTGTAAAAGGCTGGAAAAATTGCTGCTTTTAGTCTGAAAGATGATGGCAGTTATCTGATTTGTAGGGGGGGTTTGTGCTTTTTTTTTTTTAGCAAACTATGTCAATTTCCATGTCAACAAATTTAAAGAAAATGGCTTTTTAACACACTGCTAGAGGGTATATAAGTGATGGTAACGCAGCTAAATGATAATGAATCTTGCTTGACTGGAGAGTGGCTAATTCTCATTCTGTTTGCAGAGGGTTGCCAGGGGGTCAGCGGCGAGAAGGAAAACCTCCGTTGAGAAATCTAGTTGTGTCAGAACGACCTGCCTCGCCACACTAACAACACCTTGGATTTCACCCTTGTGGCTGCTAATACTGTCATGCCGTGTGACCTAAATAAGACCAAACCTTTAGCAACAACAAAGAAAAAGAAAGAAAGAAAAAAGAAACAGGTCAGTTCTTATATTTCTGGTCAAAAGCTAAGGGGTTTGCTTTGGTTATGGCTTTGTTTCCACACTGTTGGGTTGCAGTGCAGAGTATTAATGACTAGAGGAGCAGAATGAGTGATGACATCATCCTTGTCTTTCACCAACTGCTCACACACAAGCACAAGAAGACTCAAATAGGTATGAAAATATAAAGATTGAAAGAGAATGTGAACAAATTGGCAGTCGTCAGTGATTCTAAATTGCACTTGATGGCACACGCGCAACATAAATGCCAATGTTACAGACAATCATAAAATGAATAAACCAAAGTTCATCAACTTATTTTATAAGGCATAATGTTCTGCTGAATCGCTGTCATGAATTTAGAGGGAATACATATAAAAAGACAAATTTCATTCATTTTTCATTATTTCATTTTCAAGGTGAAAAACATTCTCCAAATTCTGTTCCAAGATCAACAAAATAAGTCTGAACTTAGAGAATAATGTATGTTCATATTGGGAAGAAATTTAATTATTTTGTACAAAGAGAAATATTTCAATAATTTATGGCATTTCTGAATAAGTGTTGAATTTTTTTAATCTCCTCTCCAAGTGAAGCTCATTAAATTTGAATTTCAAAGTGAAGTTCATTTGTCTCAGGAAATTCTCTAAAGTTTTGAGACGCATATTTGATCTTTATTAATTGCTAACATTATTTGTCAAAAGTTCATTTCTGTTCATTTTGATGAAAACCAATTAGGTTCTCATTGAATATTACATACGATATATAAAGTTATTTGATCACACAAATGTGAGTCTACTTATAAGTCTGAGTGTCTGCGCTCAAAACGTTGTTCAGATGTCTTTTGGATGAATTACTGTATCAGTGCAGAACAACATGGAGGCGACCAGCCTCCACACTACTCTGGTCTCAAAGAAGGCCAGGTCTCTTTAATCTTCATTTCTGAATAACATGACATTTTACTTTGATTTGAAATGAGGCACGGTGAAGTCCTTTCTCTCTTCTGCTCGAGTAAAACGCTTCTGACACTTTTGGTTCACCAGTTGCTAAAGGCACAAAGAATGTGGCTATTGTACACCATGGCCTTCAGGTCGTACTGCTCCTTGTTCACCTTTTTCCACTCCACTTTTTCCTTTCACTAAATTTTCATTTACGTGCTTGACTACAGCACTCGGTCAGTAATAAACTGTTCTTGCTCACACTACTACTCTCTGAAACTGTCAATGAGCTCTAATTATTGAAATGTCTAAGGGACAATCGTCACATCAGCAGTTTGACCAGTGATTGTTATTGATGACATTTCTGTTTTCAAACTCCTAATGGTTTTTATGGAAAATTCAAATCTTCTGAGAATCTTAATTGTGGATTTTCATTAGTTTTAAAACACAGTCTGCTGATATCTATTTTACAGTCACACAACAGGATGTAAAGTGGTTTATTTCAAACATGTGTAAAATAAGCTCAGTGGATTAAATTATTATTATTATTATTATTATTATTATTATTATTATTATTATTATGCTAAATTCCTGACCAAGATGAATGAAAAGTCCAGCCATACTGTACGTCTGCTCTGTGGGAGTTAATACTGGACACTCTGAGTCTCTATTGTTGCCAGCAGATATAATTAGCCGAGGCGTTATGGCAATCTACGAAGTTGGAAGGTGCTTATCTTCAGTTTGGCCCGTCGGGAACACAGTGAGGGGTTGCGGTGTGGGGGGGAGATACGACACACCAATTCACAGTGGCAAAGTACCTCAGCATCCACCTCCATGCGCGATTGCGATCCGGGGACAGCCGGGGGTTGGTGGAGTGGATGCGAGCTGGTAATGGGGGTAATAGGGGTGATGGGGGATACGGTTGCCACTGGAGATGCTGGCTGCATCACGTCATGTGTTGGAGGGGAGAGGAGGAGGAGGAGGAGGAAGAGGAGGAGAGAGCTCCGGTAAGAGATAGGAGGAGCAGGGAGGGGAGGAGAGAGAGAGACTGAAAGAGAGGAGGGCATTAAGCAAGAAAGCAGGGAGCAGAGCATCGAGCCAGCAGTAGCTATTTGAGGCCCCCTTCTTCCCCCCGACCAGCGATGCTCCCCCGACAGATAGGTTGAGCGCGGCAGCTCCGTGACCCGCTGCGCTCCGGAGAATCACATCGGACAGCCAGGAGGGAAGGAAAGACACCGGCGATGTGAGCATGCAGCCTCCTCCACAAAGGCAGACCTTCTTCTGAGCGGAGCTCCGCTGCTGCCACTGGATTACAGTCACCCTCGCTGTTTCCAAGGAGGCTTCCCGCTGCCAACATCCCCACATGAATTTGGCAAACTGTCGAGAAACGGAGCACTTCCTTACCAAGGTGAGCGGCACTCTGCATTTATTATTTATTTATTTATTTCACTGTTAATACACGGGGCAGCGGTGCACACCCCACCCACCCAGCCTGGTTATTCACTTGTCGAGTGGAAACTAAAGAAGGAATCGTTTTCCGAAATTGTTTTATTCCACATTGACAGTCAATGTTCTTTGTGTCCCCCCCCCTGTCCCCATCTCCTCTACCCCACTCTCTAAACCCCGATCTCAGTCTGAATTAAAGATTAGGGTCTGACTGGCAAACGCGTCTGAGTGTGTTCCCATGTCACCTTCTTCTCATTGTTGGCTGGGCAGCAGCGTGAAGGGACCAGTGCAGACTGGCAGAGCCTTTGTTCCACATCCTCTCCTCTCATTGAAAGTGGCTTTTTTTTTTTTTTTTGATGGCACTATTGAAAGAAGGGAGAGTGACAATTAGTTTAGCTTTTATGCCTCATTAACAGCTGTATAATGGAGGGTTATTTAGCAGAAGAAAATGTGGGGGTTGGGAAAAAAAGAGGAGGAAAAATGCCCAACAT